AAATTCCCAATCCAACCTAGGGCTCTAATCCCATCCAAATCATCAAGATCATATTTTATCTCTAATATCAAGAAACATCAAGATCTATCAAGAATCATCACATAAATATCAAGAACCTCTTTTTAATATCAAGATCATCAAGATCACAAATAAAACCATCACATCAATTAACAGGATTGTATTACAAACAACATAAAGGAATTTATCAAGATGCAAGCATATAGAGGGAGCCAGAGAAGGAGATTATAGCAAGGAAAATAGGTTTTGTTGAGACATGGGTTACCTCTTAGCCTTAATTAATTTCCTTGGCTATGAAGGGTCTTTCTTTAAGATTTCTTCTTCCTTGATTTCTGCTACGGGAATTCTTGGGAATTCTTGTGTGGTGAAAGTTATTGTGGTGTGAGTTCTAGGTGCCTCCTATGTCCCTATTTATATATCTAAGAGTCCCAATTAGGGTCTAAGTGGTATGGATTTGCTAATTCTATTTCCTATAGGACTAAGAGATTGGCTTTAAGGATAAGGGCCCATGGACTATGGTGGACCCCCTTTTAGCTAATTAATGGATTTTAACTCCCTTTTTGGGCTGAGTAATTAATTAATTAATTTGGTTTAGGGGTCGTAACACGGGGTGTTACAGCATATCTAGAGCTTGTGTTTAGGGTTCTTGTATGCCATTGCTTGGCTATTCCTTTGATTCAAGTCATTTTGTTGTATTTGGTGAGTTTTGACATGTTTCGGACTTGAATTTTAGCTTGGAGATGAAAATCCGGGAAGGAATTTATTGTGGTACAGGAGTGTACCCGCAGGCGGAACGGTGGGTAGGGGTCCAACCCGCCGCCCACCTGCGGGGTACATGATGTTGGAGGGCCTGTACCCGCGGGCAGGACCACGGGTAGGGGCCTACCCGTGGGCCCACCCGCGGGGTACGTATTGTGGTTGTTGGGGGATTTGTTCTCCGTGATTCTTTTGACTCGGTATTTGGTCTTTTGACATCCCGATGTTCTTTTGTGGAACTATTTGAGTGTCTTCTTGATGTTTCTTATGTCTAGAACTATAGGGTAGGATTCCATGTAGGTTTTGGTGTCGTGAATTGTGCTAAGTGTTCAACATTGTGTTTCGTTGAACTGTGATGAGTGTTATGTGTTCTTCGGAACTACATTTGGTTTACCCGTTTGATAAGCATGCTAGTTTGGTGTTTAAATGCTAGCGTGTGTGTTATTTGTACCTTCTTATTGGTTGATGATAACTTGTGTTAATCATCGTTGTTGTTGTTGGGCTGTGACCCATTCTTTGATTGAGTATGGTTTCATATCTTCGTTGTGATCCGTTGATTGATTCCTGTTGAGGTGTGATGTGTGTGTGGCTTTACCTAGATTGCACGATTAGTGGTACGGGACACTAGTCACCAAGGTATTACAGTGGTCCTCATGGTGGCCATGACGTGATTATGGAGCTGTGGCCTTTGTGTAAGGTTCACGTGTTTATTTCAGGGATAACATGTGTTATCCAGGGCATGTGTTGCCATGTGTGATCGGTATCCTCGTGTACTATGAAATCGGTGGTTCTGTTGGAGGGACTGTTGGAGGGGGAACGACGGTTCCCGGGGGAATAAGGTTGGACTTGGTGTACAGGGGTCCTGGAGGTAAAGGTTGGAACTAGATATAAGGTTGGGGGTAGCCATAAGGTTGGAACAGGGCATAAGGAAGGCATATCAACTCGTGATGGGTGATGTCACGAGGGCTTGTGTAGCCGTTGTTGTGAGTTCTCTTCTTGTGACGTGTGTAGTCACAAAGGCATATGTTGCCGTATGTTGTGTCTTTATTCCTTGAGTTACGCATGTCGGGTATTAATCTATTGTGCGATGATAGATTGTACCTTGTGAGTCGATGTTGTTCTTTGTAGTCTTGGGATGCGTTCCCGTGTTCTTGTTGAGAGTGTTGACTCTTGTGTTACTATTACTCTTGGTTTTTGACTTATATATATATATATATATATATATATATATATATATATATATATATATATATATATATATATATATATATATATATATATATATATATATATATATATATTCCTTTTCGAAAATGACTTTACAAACTTATATCTTACCTATGTATGATATTTCACATGTATTGGTGGGTTACCAGCGTTATTCGCAGGTGATGCTTAGACGAGTGCGCGGTCTAGTGCCAGCTAGCATAGTTTCCCCTTTGTGTTTTGTGGCCTGTGAGCCAATATAGATGTAGTACTCTGTTGGATGGTTTTAGTTTTTAAACAATGCAGATTTAGCCTGTGCGTTAACTGGTTTAAGTTATCTGCATGTTTTAAGGCTTTAAATATCATGGTTTTAGGGGGTGGTACACATATGAGGTGTGTTGCACATTGAATTTGATTGTGAATAAAGGCTTGAAACTTTTGAATAAGTCAATTGCTCGTGTTAGAGGGGCGGTGAGATATGTAAGGCAATATCCATATAGATTGCAAAAATTTAAAGAGTGTGTTGAAAGTGAACATATAGAAAGCAAAAGTTTGTTGAATTGTGCCTTGATGTTAGTACTCGATGGAATTCAACATAGTTGATGCTAAATTATGCTCAAAAACTTGAAAAATCTTTCTATATTTTTTATTTACAAGATGAGAATTTCAGAGATGATCTTTAATCGGAGGATGGTGTTCCTATTGAAAGTGATTGGAATATAGTTAGGGAGTTGGTAAAATTCTTGGAGCACTTTTATGAGCTTACAAATTGAGTTTCTGGGACTTCATATGTTATTTCCAAATGTTTGTTTGATGAGATTTGTGAAATTGATTGCCTTTTGAGAGAGTGGAAAGCTTCGGATGAGAATAATTTTAGTTTAATGGCAATGAAGATGAAAGATAAATTTCACAAATATTGGGGGAACTTTGACAAGTTGAATATGCTTATTATTGTTGCCATTTTTCTTGATCCTAGACACAAGTTTTGCTATGTGGAATTTTATTTGAAAGATATGTTTGATGGTTCAAAAGGTGTGTAAATGGTGAAAAAGGTTAAAGAAGCAGTGTATGAATTGTTTAATGCTCATAAGCCATCAAATGACATTGTGTCATCTAGTTCCACTCCAACATGAAGTTCGAATCTAAGAGAATGTCACGCTAGGATGAAAAAGCGTATGCAAGAGAAGTTTGTAAGGCACAAACTTCAATCAGGTAATGTTGGGGATCAAATGTCAGAATTGGATAAGTATCTCAATGAAGCTACGGAGCCAGTGAAGAATGATTTTAATATTTTGTTGTGGTGAAAAGTTAATAGCCCTAGATTCCCTTATTTGTCATTGTTGGCTCGAGATATGATAGCTATTCCAATATCCACTATTTGTTCTGAGTCTACCTTTAGTACCAAAGGACGTGTTCTTGATTCCTTTAGGAGTTCTTTAACTCCTAGAATGGCTCAACCTCTTGTGTGATATCAAGATTGGATTCAAAACTGTTAGTGTTTTGGTTAGATAGATAAAACCCCAACTTTGTAATTGACTTTATTATTATGGCAAAATAGTTAGGCCAAGTCAGAGTCAGTCTGAAGTTTAGAAGATGAAGACCTGATTGATCAGGGAATACATCAGAAGCTTATGTGAAGATTTGAATATGATAAGAAGACTGTCGGTCTGAGGAGCGTGTGCGCTGGCAGAAGGCCGTTATGGCTTGAGGTGGTTTTACAAGAAAGACCTTGGTCATCTTTTCACCTAAAAGGGGTATCTACGTAATCTGACTTAGAAGCGGTTGGATGACATGGATTACGGATACCTCCCTGGACCAGATAATATATACTAGAGTGCTGATTCATAGAGAGGCTAATGAATCCATTCGATACACTCTTGAATAAAAATAAAGCACTTGAGTTTTAAGTTTTTCTCTCTGGTTCGTCAAAGCTCTTCTCAAGACTGGTTGTTCATGGTGATCTGAGTTGATGAAGTTGAGAAAAACATACTGAGTTTAAACCAGTGGACGCCAAGATCACGCAACTGTTGGATGCAGTGAAGGATTGCGTCAAGAAGCGGACTGCACCAGAGATTGATCTCTATTGAAGGGACTTCCGTGGACCTCTGTGTGCGTAGCTCTCCTACTTCACAATCCTCTAAGTTCAAGGTAGATTGGGTACATACCTTGTGTAGCAACTCAGCTGAGATTGTACTTCTCCACCTTTGTACTTTGAAGTTGAGTTAGTGGATTGGACGCATCGGTGATCGTCCCCCAGATGTAGATACGCATTGTATCGAACTGGGTAACCAAATCTTGTTTGGCTTGTGTTGCATGTTTACCTTTTCCGCACTTTTCTTTGTCTGGTGTTATCTCTGATTGACTATTTGTTTGATAATATGTGTTATTATTGCACACCATCTGTTTGACAAGAAAAGTAGGTAAATACCGTAAGTCTACCAATTCACACAAAATTACAAAAAATCAACACATTCATTGGATGTTTTTGAATAACTCCAAGAATTAAATGACTTTGAAAGTGTTGAAAATGGTATGTAAATTTTATTCCTTTTATTTATAAGTTTACTTTCATCACAGAAATTAAAATTTTAATATATTGTTTTTTTTTTATGTCTTTTATCTTTTAGATTCTTCATGGAATACAATGGAATCTACTTTGTGAATTGTGAGTTAGTGTTTGTTCTTGGAATTCTAAGGTAAAAATAAATATTTGAAAGTAGTTATATTTGTTAGTTTTATTTATTATTTGGTTAAGTGGTTAACTATTATTTATAAAACTTTAATAAGTTATAGGACATACTTTTTTTCTCTCTCAACTTCTCTGAGTGGCTATCGACGGTTATCTGAGTGGCTAGCGGCGATTTTTTCAGAGGGTGGGGCGCGGTGGGGGCACGGTGGCGGGGGTGGAGGAGGTGTATGAATCCATGGTATTTATACCGCTAGTTTCCTTCTCGTCTTTGTGGCGAGTGGGTGTGTATTTATTTTTGCCTTTGCTGTTGTTGTCTACTAAGCTGGCTAGTATGGCATCGTCTTCGCGTTCCCTTGAGGAGGTGTGTGCGGCGCTGATGCTTAAGGAAGAGGAGGCAGGTGGGATCGAGTTGGAGGCGGAGGATGTGGTGGAAAATTCGGAGTGCCTCAAGTTTGCAGCGGTTGAGCGCCTTCTTACGGATCAACCAAAAAAGTTCCAGATCATGAGAGATACCCTCGCGGGGGCCTGGCGACCGGGAAAGGGTGTGACCATTAAGGAGTTACCTCTAAACCTGATGTTATTCCAGTTTTATCATGAGTTTGATCTGATGCGTGTGCTGGAGGATGGACCTTGGGTGTTTGAGCAGAATCTAGTGCTTATTAAGCGAGTGGAAGAGAACCAGTCCCTGTTAGATGTTGAGCTGAACGTTGCTGAATTTTGGGTGCAAGTTCATAATCTCCCACTTGGATTCATGAGTGCTAGGGTGGCGGAGGCGGTGGGTAACCACATAGGATGCTTCGTGAAGGCTGACCAGCGCAACTTTGACGGTCCCTGGAAGACGTTTATGCGTGTCCGGGTAGCGTTGAATGTGGGGAAGCCATTAAAGAGGAAGATGAAGATTAAGAAACCGAGAGGTGAGTGGTACTGGGTGGAATTCAAGTATGAAAGATTACCGACCTTTTTCTTCGAATGTGGGGTCTTGGGGCATTCTGAGCGGTTTTGTGGTAAACATTTCGAGGTGGGGGGTGCGGTTGGAGAGAAGCTCTACGGAGCGTGGCTGAGGGCTCCGGGGCATCGGTCAACGGCAACGCTTGGTCAATGACGGTACGAAGACTGTGGGGCAGTTCCGAGAAATGGGGGGGGGGGGGGGGGTGGGATGGGGCACGAGTGGTAGAGGGGGTAGTGGAGTGGAATTAGTGGTTGGTCAGAGTCGCGTGGGCGATGTGTGCGTGGAGAATAGTAAAGACGTGGAGGAGAGTCAATGGGTGGTTATTTCTGACCAAAAAAGGCAGAGAGTAGAGGGTGTGGGTGAGGGAGGGGTTAGTGCGGTGGTGGTCTCAACGAACTTGCATGGGGCGGGTGCTACAACGCAGACCCGCCATGATCATTGAGTCTACTGGCATGGAATTGTCGGGGGCTCGGCAATCCTACAATGGTTCGTGTGTTGTTGGACATCATCCAACGTAAAAAGCTAAGGATAATATTCCTATGTGAAACCTTATGTAATCAAAATAAATTGGAAATGGTGAAAATGCAATTAGGATTTGAGGGATGTCTGGGAGTGGAGTGCGTGGGCCGATGCGGCGGCTTGGCTCTATTGTGGCAGAAAGGGGCAGAGGTAGAGGTGTTGGGATATTCTCAGCACTTTATCGACGCACGAGTGAAGGGGAAGGGGGGGGGGGGGGGGCGAGGTTGCAGGAGGATACAACGTGGTGGCGGTTTATAGGCTACTATGGCCACTCGGAAAGAAGCCGACGACGGGAATCGTGGGGCTTACTCCAGTACCTATCCAACTTGTATTCTTTGCCTGGGTGATCATGGGGGAGTTTAACGACTTACTCAGGGTGGAGGAAAAGCTAGGTAGGGTACCCCATCCGGCTTGGCTAGCGAGGAGTTTTTGAGAGGCGGTAGAGGCGAGTGGGCTGGAGGATTTTGGGTTTGAGGGCTACCATCACACGTGGGAGCGTGGATGGGGAACGACCGCATGGGTGGAGGAGAAACTGGATAGGATATTGTGTAATGAATCTTAGAGAGAGTTGTTTACGGGGGCAACAACATGTTCGTTGGAGGGGTCTTCTAGTGATCATCTTCCATTGCTGCTGAATCCAGTGCAGAGTGAGGTGCGGTTGGGGATGAGAAAGGGGTTTAAGTTCGAAAACGTGTGGATTAAAGAGGCTTAGAGTAAGGAGGTGGTCAGGCGCAGGTAGAGGAGTCGGGGGGTGTGGATGTGTTGTAGAAGATTCAGAATTGCGGGAGGGACCTCTGGCGTTGGGGGAGGGGGAGGCGGATGGTAAAGGATTTTCGGGGTCGACTAGAGCAGTGCAAACGCGAGATGGAAAGCCTTCGACATCAAACTGATGAGGCTGGCCAAGCTCGCTTCCAGGAGGTACATCGTAAGTATTTTGCGACCCTCGAGCAACAGAGTACCTACTGGAGACAATGCGCGAAGGAGTTTTGGTACAAAGAAGGTGACGCGAACACTCGATACTTCCATAATGCGATGAAGGGACGCTGGCGTCGGAATTGTATCACGGCCTTACGTGATGATAACAGGGGGCTGGTGATAGATAGGTAAGCCTTAAGTGCACTTATGTGTCGTTACTTTGATAACCTGTTTACGTCCAGGCAGGGGAATATGGAACTGTACCTGGAGTGCATTGCGTGTGGCGTCTCCTGTAACACCCCAAATTTTCAAGACTTTTAAAACTTATATAATAAAAGTAAACTCTCATTAAATCCCAAGCAGAGCAGTACTAAACACAAGAGTACGGGGTGTTATGCCATATCTGAGCTGGAGAACTCAGATGCACAGGCCAAACCATCTAATCATCCTCAAATAATATCATTACATCATCATGGCACGCAGGCCGAATAAGAACTACCTATCTAAGTCTTGGGTCCTCTAGCGCGCTCCGGAGCTAATCGTCTGTGCCAAAAAGCCAAATATATCTGTTCAGCGAATAATGCTGGTAACCCACTCTAATGCGTTGAAATACCGTATAAGTATATATATATATATATATATATATATATATATATATATATATATATATATATATATATATATATATATATATATATATATATATATATAGAAGAAAAGTCATTTTGAAGCAGGAAGATATATCCTAGGAAACTCTAGTTTCAAAACCGGAATAGACTCGACAAATAGGGATAAGCACATTCAACAGTTATAACCAAGCATGTAAAGATACTAGCATATATCCTATGGGATAGGCACATTCAACAGTTGTAACCAAGCATGTAAAGATACTAGCATATATCCTATGGTCACGGATTCACTTCATCTCATTTATATCATCATTCAACTCATCACACAAGCACACTTTGTTGGCGCCACAGGACCAATCGCATGCCCATACATGAGGGTCAGCGCATATAGCTCTGACACGGCCCCACAGCACCCTGCCTCGTATCGCAACACGAAGGGGTCGATCGCAACCGATCGATGAACCGTAGCTCATCATAATGTTTGATCGCAACCAAACAGTGGACTGTAGTCCAAGAGTGATCATCTGACCGCAGCCAGGAATATGAACCGCAGCTCATGTAAAACGTTTGATCGCAACCAAACGGTGGACCGCAGCCCAAGAGTTTAATTCTGACCGCAGCCAGCTTCTGAACCGCAGCTCAGGAATAACCAATTTGATCGCAACCAAATTGGGGTATCATGCACACATAACACATAGCAAGCACATGCAACCCACATTAACACATTGGGAAGGGGAGAAAATGTATAACGAAACCTATGCGTGGTCATCCACATATTAGGAATAATCCTAAGGGTTCATACTTCTTTCACCTAGGCCAACGGGATACCAATTCAACTAGCATGCGATATATAAGACTCATTTATCCTACGAATGGTACCCGAAACATCAAACTAGACTTAGGCACGATAATCGGAGTCTGTTGGGACACCACGAGGGTCGGGGAAACATCAAACGGGGAAGCCGAAGACCCAAGTTGGGCAAATTCCAGCGGGTAGCCGGTGGGTGGAGGTCCACCCGCCGGCGACAAGCCTCTGGGCAGCGGGTGCCCGGCGGGCAGTCGCCTGCCCGCCGGCTGCCCGCTGCCGGCGGCGTCCTTTTCGGGCAGCGGGTAGGTGGCGGGTCCCCCTACCCCCACTACCCGCCACCTACCCCCCACTGACTCTTTATCAAAATAAACGTCCTGGGATCCTTTGTGGAACCGGAAACCATGCTTAGACACTTTCAAACGAAATTGATGACACCTCGTAGACAATTAATGGATCAAAAGCAAGAATCATATAGCACATATCCTATCATGACTTCTAAGCATAATCAACACCCAAACATGCGAATTCCCACCCAAATTTATCAAGAATAACACAATATGAGTTTCACGATTCATCCTAGGGCTCTAATCATATTTAAATCAACAATATCGTAGTTCATCTTTTAACATCAAGAAACATCAAGATTTATCAAGAACATCACATAATCATCAAGAACCTCTTATCATCATCAAGATCGTCAAGATCACGCATAAATTCATCTCATCAATCATCAAGATCATATCATCAATATCACAAATGATTTATCAAGACACGAGTATAGAGAAGAAGCCAAAGAAGGAGATTATATCAAAGAAAATAGGTTTTGTTAAGACATGGGTTACCTCTTAGCCTTAATTAATTTCCTTGGCTATGAAGGGTCTTTCTTTAAGATTCTTCTTTCTTGATTTCTCCTAGGGGAATTCTTGAAACTTTTTGTGTGGTGAGAGATTATTGTGGTGTGGGTTCTAGGTGCCTCCTATGCCCCTATTTATATACCTAAGAGTCCCAATTAGGGTCTAAATACTATGGGCTTGCTAATTCTATTCCTTATAGGACTAGGGGATTGGTTTTAGGGATGAGGGCCCATGGACCATGGTGGGCCTTTACCTAATTAATTACTGGAATTTAATTCTTTCTTTTGGGTAAATGATTAAATGATTAATTGGTTTTAGGGGTCGTAACACGGGGTGTTACATCTCCAATGTTCAGAACGAGTATCTACTGAAAACAGTCTCACAGGATGAAGTTTGGAAAGCGGTTAAGGGTATGTATCCTGATAAGGCGCCGGGGCATGATGGGATGACCCTCAGCTTCTATCAGGCTTTCTGGGACGTGGTGGGGGCAGATGTGGTGCGCTTGTGTAGGGATTTCTTGACGGGAAGAGCGTTGCCGGAGGGGATAAACAAAACCAACATAGTCCTGATTCCCAAAAAATCAAAGCCCGACTCTATGAAGGATCTCTGTTCGATCTTGTTGTGCAACTCGATTTTCAAATTGGTGGTTAATGTCCTGGAAAACCACTTTAAAGGGCTGCTCAATGGGTTGATATCTCTAAACCAAAGCGCCTTTGTCGCCGGGTGGTATATTACGGACAATGTGCTAGTGGCGTTTGAAACCCACCATTACTTGAAAAGGAAGATGCAAGGGAAGGAAGGGTATGCTGCGCTCAAACTTGACATGAGTAAAGCATACGACAGGGTGGAATGGGCTTTTTGGAGGGAGCAATGCTAAGGATGGGATTCAGCGAGCGGTGCGTGCAGCTTATTATGCGTTGTGTCTCATCGGTTGAATATAATGTCCTGTTAGACGATGAAGGGTACGGCCCTATAGTGCCGGGCAGGGGGTTGCACCAAGGCGACTCTTTGTCCTTGTACTTGTTCATTATTGTGGCGGAGGGGTTAAATGCTATGCTCAGACGACATGAGGAGTGCAGGGGTATCCGTGGAGTGGTTGTGACGCGGGGAGCACCTAGGGTTTCCCATATGCTTTTCGCAGACGACTGCTTTGTCTTTTTTTCGTGCCAACCTAACAGAGGCGGGGGTGATAGCAGAGACGTCAATTTTGATAAGTCCTCAATATCGTTTAGCGGTAATGTCGCAGCTGGGGAAATGGAAGCTGTGTGTGAGCTGTTGAGGGTGAATGAGGGAGAGGGGGGCAGACGGTACTTGGGACTACCATCGTTAGTAGGGAGAAAGAAAAGGGAAGTTTTGGGGTTTGTGAGGGTGCGGATTGTGTCTTGGATTAGCAGATGGAATAACTGTTTTCTGTCTCGGGCAAGCAAG